ATTCTTTTTTTTATCATATTCATCACAAATAACATATATTTTTAAAAACAAAATGTAATTTATTAAGTAAACAAATTTTTTTAAGAACTCTAAATCGAGCCAAAAACGCATAAATTTTTTAGTCAAAATCAACCCCAAATCTTTCATTTTTTGAACAAATTGACATGGGGATATGATAGATACTTTAATTAAGTTTCAAATGCCCCAAAATTCATGAAGATTAATTGATTAGTGAGATCTTTATTCAAAAAATTACGGATTTTTCACTTCACGAAAATTTCAGGAAAAAAACGCAGCAAAAAAAAAATCGATATAAACACATTTAATCAATAGTAAATCATAGTAACTATTTTATTTGATAGATGATGCCTTTATGATCAAACTTCAGTGATCAATTCGATAAAATCGTTCAATTTATCGATCAAAAATCAATTTGTTGATAAAAAACAGTTCTTCGAGCAGCAGTACTTGGGGCCCAAAAAACCTCAAATCTTCCTTTTTTTGGAAAATTTTAAATATGTAAACATTGAATCATTCAACAATTAATCAAACCCTCTATTTTTATGAAAATTTATAAGGTATTGAAGCAACATTTGATAGAATGGTGGAAATTTCTAATTTTCAAAAATCCTCATTTCAATCCGCCAAGAACTCTTTGTTTTTCGACTTTTGATTCAAGAATCTATAATTTATAGAAACTTTCAAGCGTATAACATCAATATTTGACTGAAAAACAAAAAAAACTGGAAAATGGAATAAAACTAAGCTGCAAAATATTGTTATGTTAAAAATAACAGGCCTGTGTCAAATAATGGCCATTATTTATGCGTTAAAACGACGTTATATCAGTGTTAAAACGGTAAATCGGACAGGCTAGAAGAGCCGGCCGGTTCGACCTCGAAATGGCCGGTTTTGGTCCCGATTTTTTTTTTTTGACAGTTCCGTCATATGTGGTGTGCCATAAAACTGGCCCTAATCGGACTCGCCACCCTATCGGTAGCGATCTGACCAGCCGGTTCCTGTTCTAACCAGTCGGTTTTGCGAACATTGGCTGATACTCGGACTAGGCTCGACGAGTTAGGCCAGCCGAAGTTTGGAAAAACTCAAGATACCTGCGCATAGGGACCTACCAAGAAGGGTTTAGTGGGTTATCCCTTGTTGAGGTCGGAGTATGCCTAGATGAGGGCCAAGGGACTGTGTGGGCCTTGCGTGTAATGAATAGCCTTTAGAGGCATGGCTAAAACCTCATCGTCATATCATCACATGACATGTACATAGATAGCTGTTTTGATACTCACCAGTGAGGGTAAATCGTGTACATGTGCGAGAGATTACCCTTATGCATCATAGAGTCATGGTTGCATCATTGTCTAGAAGACCATGAACCTCTACAGTGGACTGTAGGTCATGGGAACTGTTGGGTCAGTTTGAGAAAGCTAAGCGGATCGTGATTTGCAGTTGAAGGTGGAGTGCTCCCATGTATTGATAATTTCCTAGATCTAACCGATCTGATTCTCATCAAAATTAATTAATTTTATGTTATATGATTTTTAGAATGTTTATTTGAATTTTTGTGATTCTTCTGATATTTTATTTTTATCATTTGAATTTATAAATTAAGAGAAATTAATTTTTCAATTTTTTAAATAAAATATAAGA